TCCCTTCCGATGCGCTGTCCCTTCCGATGCGCTGTCCCTTCCGATGGGCTTCCCCTTCCAATGGGCTGTCCCTTCCGATGGGCTTCCCCTTCCGATGCGCTGTCCCTTCCAATGGGCTTCCCCTTCCAATGGGCTGTCCCTTCCGATGGGCTTCCCCTTCCGATGCGCTGTCCCTTCCGATGGGCTGTCCCTTCCGATGCGCTGTGCCTTCCGATTGGCTGTCCCTTCCAATGCGCTGTGCCTTCATATTGGATGTGCCTTCCTAATGGCTATGCCATCCAATAAGGCACAGCCTATTGGATGGCATACCTATTGAAAGGCATAGCCCATGCACAACAAAATATTCCAACAATCCAGAGAAATGGGGGATGGCTATATGATTTGCATCTGACTTGTAAAATGCTTAGGGGGATAGACCTCCATGCTCCTTAATTACAGCAGCCCTCAAACCACAGATTGTTCTGTTACAAGCCAACAGAAACATCTTCAACTGAACAATTGCCTTCTAAGTTAAGCCTGTTATGCTGCTTAACAGAAGAAATTTCCATTAGTTATACTAGAAATAAATGCTGACCACATGACCTAAAAACAGTTTTTTGTTCTACAGTAAAACGAATTGTTTCCTAAATAAGAATGTGTTTTCTTTTTATTGCCAGGCTGATGCGTCCATATGTTTCAGTAATATGGAGAGTCATCAGGCAAAGCTTTCTTCTCTGTTAAAGCAGCTGAAAGAACTTGTGCAGGACAATGAGCCGCTGCCACGTTCAACTGTTTTTGTAAGTTCTGGCTGACCAGGCTGTATAGTTCATGTCTCTGTCAGCCTCTTCTCTCTGTGTTTAGTGCACTGTACTCTGTAATAAATTATATGATTTTCAACCCAAAAACATTGAGGGGCCATAAGGGATCTTTCCTTTCTCTTATTATAAATTATCTTATTATAAATTATATACCTTCCATTCTACTGTTGAAACTGTTTCTAAAGTTCATTTTTCTATTTAATTTTCAACTTTATTTTCTTTCAGCCTTTGTTCAAATCTGTATCAAAACTGTGGTTGGAGCTTCAGGATGAGGCCCAACTGCTGAACAACCTGAATAAGATCGCAGTCAGTCTGAAGCCCTTCCTGGTCTCTCAGGCTAAGATGTTTTCAGAAGCATGTCTGGAGAGCCTGCTGGAAGCAGCAGAAGTGAAGACAGATAACCAGAGGATAGCAGCATCCTCAGGTATGGCTGATGTCACCCACACACACAGCTCTGCAGGTTCCTGATAAAGCTTACTCATCAAGCGTCCTCTACAGGCTATGATAAGGAACCTGGACTGAGATGATTTGACGGTTCAGGATTCTGTTGTTTGATTTCCCCTTCAGATGAACAGATTGATCCGGACCTACTGAAGTCACAGCAATGGCTCCTCCCTCACACAGCTGACAGCTTCACTGGGCTGCCGCTCCAGTATAATGGATTCTGTGCTTACATGCTTGTGAAGAGAGATGGTCTCCTACTCCCAGGTAGTGGCTCCCCTGAGATATTTATCCCTTTAAAACATGATAGAGTTTAGATTATATTAATATATCACATGAAAGAATAAAGGGTAAGATTATGGCGTCACATTCATTTCAAAACGCCCACCAGCAAAATAAACACACTTGCATGTATGTTAAACCACTTCTGGGCATATTCTATCTACCATCATACAACAAAATCATACATGCGCGAGAAACTGCCGCTTCGCGAGGAGAAAATATCCCTCTTTGTGTGCCCTTTCCTCCCAGGCGCTCGAGATCGAGCTTAGGATCTCACCACGACCATGATTTTCTATCCAGTGGCCACGCTCAAGGATGTCTGCGTTCTCCAAAGTGTCTCTGCCCTCGGACTGATTTTCTCCCAGCGCAAAGGAGAATGTGTTTTGACAGGGTGGGTGGAGAAAAACCTCCTCTGTAAGCCTCCTCCTGATTGGGCCTTGCAGACACGATAACTCTGGAAGTAGTATCATGAAACCTTTGACTCACAGCTCGTCATCCATAAGGAAAGACGACGGCTGGAGTTCGGGACAGTGGTGGAGGCTTCTCCGTGGTTCATGGGGCGAGTGGTAAGCGTCAGTCAGAGTATGCTTATTTTGCTTGCGGGCGTTTTGAAATCGATGTGACGCAATAGAAGATATTCTACCTTTTTTATAAACTGAAGTCTCAATTCAATTGAATTCTATTCAGTTTATTTCTATAGCACCAATTCACAGCATGTCATCTCAAAGCACTTTCCAGTTCACCAGATCATCCAGTCAGATTGATTCAAAGTTTTCTATCTAAGGAAAACCAG